CCACATTATATACAAAAGTGTGTGGTTGACTCTTGCTGCAAACTTATTTTCTTTGGGTATTCCAAGCACAACATACGAAGCATCAACATCACAATCCTGCAAAAGATTTAATAAAATAGTCCTAAATTCTGACTAGTTTTATCATAGTGACCACAATATTTATCAACTATATCTAATCTTTTTACCTTAATTTTGTGTTTTCGAAAACTTTAACAACAAATTTAAAAACTTAAGGCTTTCATAGAGTTAGACTTTTCACTCCACCTGATCGAAACTTGAATGGTATTTAGTGAAGGTGATGAAACGCTTATATCTATTAAAGGCAGTAAGTGGAAACAATCCACAAATGTTAGTGTAAATTAGTTTTGAAACATCTTTTACATCTATTAATGATGACCTTATATTAATAACGAGATTTCTCTTAATGCAATCTATATGTGCGAAATTTAGAATGTTCCTAATGCCAATGCCACAACATGATAGACTTTTCATCTATTTTACCAAGATTAAAGCCAACAACCATATTCTTCAATATATGTACAACTAAAAAAGATTGCCCATGTTCATAGCTAACATCGATATCCTAACCACGAAAAGGTTAGAAGGCACATTCCCTAGATTGGATTCAACCAAAATATAGTTATTAGAATGCCTTCATTTTTCAATATAGAAACTTTTACAATTTGCCTTCTTATGCTTGATTTATTAGAAAGGCACACATTTCTAATTCCTCTGATTTTAGAATTCAGAGGCATTGGTGCAACCAAAATGGGAAGTAAGCTTGATGAATTTTTTCTTCTTAAATAACCTCTTATGAGACCTTTTTGAATAGTATTCCATTTGGCATTAGTACTTATCTATATCATCAAGAAGGTAGAATGAGATTATCACTTATAATATCTCTTTCTCTTAGATGGTTATAACACATTATATTAAAATCGTATGCCTACTTTTGTACTTTATGACTGCATTTCATACTATTATCCCTAGAAAGATGTGATTTAAAATCTACCACACAAGGAACTGGTTCTCTATTTTAACGTTGGCCATTTTTAGAATGTGCTAATGAAAACCACATACCACACTAATATGGTAATGGTAAACGATCTATGTGGTTCAATATTTCAATATTATAAAACCTTTTGAAATTAGCTTTAACGACATCCTTAATTATCAGTGTGGCAAACACTATTTCTAATATTTTTACTAGTGGTATACCTATACATCATAAACAATTTTAATTAGATTGTCTTTAAGAAGCACATAGTCCTTTTGTTCTCAATTGAGCTCTTAAAAGTGGATATGGAATGTGGATCGACTCTCGGACAACATTTAAAATTCATTACACCTATAATAGTAGAGAGTGATCACATTATTTATCAAAGTTGATAATGTTAGGTAATAGTTGCAAAGACAAAATGGGGATTAGAGGCTTTATATAATAACTCAATATAGTATTAGACATGCCATGTGTATAGAATCATGTCATAATAGTTATTTTATTAAATTCAGAACTCAAGATTTTCTTGAAACATACAATAAAAGATAATACAAAATTGGTTGAATATAAACCTAGAATGACTTGCTACTAATGGGATAACTAAATCATGTTATATCCCAACCAAAATCCTTTCCTTTCTAAACATCCTTTAAAGCACCAATCAATTTGATGGGGAAAGCATTATCATCTTAAGAGACCTTAGTAAATATTACAACTATCATAAAAAATTGCCATATTATTATTCCAAAATAGATTATCTGTAAAATCTTAAAAATCTTATGATTATTCTCATGACACCTAGGCTTTAATCAATTTGATTAATGATTTGTATAATTTAAGAATATTCACTTAATTGTGAAACCAAATTTGATTACAATAGAAATATGCAATACTAGAAGTATATACAGAAAACTAGGTTAGACATTATCAACTAATTCCATTCAGTGATTATTTAAATAATAAAATAATTTTATTAATTAAATGGACTTTTATAGAATTAAATAAATTATTAACAAAATGAGTAAATTTAAATTCCTAAAATTGAACCAACCAAAATACCCAATTAATTGATTTTTCTCCATTTAATTAGGTCTAATATTTAAATGAAGCCATTAATTTTGGTCCAAAATATTTTACAAAAATATTAACAAAATGACCTTAGGCAAAATGGTCAAAATCACTTAAATTAATGGCTCCAAAATTTAATAATTAAACTATGACGTGTGCCTATTAGGTGAATGGGCCTGTATGTTACATACGCATGCAATAAATGATTGTACACACCACACATACTGCGTCGGGTCTTCTTCTTGACATATTATCCTGTCATTCAGGTTTTTGGCTTCGACCCAACTTGTTTTTGTTTAAAACTTGCCATTTTCACACCATTTTGGACCGTAAAAGTTGTATTTCAACCCTTTTTAGGCTGCATAAAAATAAAACAATAATTTGGTGCCAAAAAAAGCAAAGAATAGATTGGTTTAAAAAACCTAAAATTTTGAAAGCTCAAAACAACCTTCAATGGCGGCACTCACATTATCAGAAGTGGTTAGTAACCTCCACAGTGTTTGACTCTGATACCAATTGTTGGATTTGATTGAAACCTCACTAAATTACTAATATAATTTAATTGAAACTAAAACTGACCTGGATGTGTGCAAGAGCTCAATCTTATTTAATTAAGGTTCATGAAAATGTTACCGTCATCATAAGCTTTCCGATGCCTCTTTCAGAAGTCCAAACGGAGACATATACAGAAAAAAACAAGAAAGAAAATTAGGCTCCATTTGGTTTGAGAAAAAGTTTTTTGCTTTTATTTTTTATTTTCATTTTCTTGAAAGTAGTTTTTATTTTCTATTTTTTGTTTTTTAAAAAATATATTTGGTAAACGAAAATAAAAATTATTTTCTAAAATGCAAAAATAAAAAATAAATAAAATATTCAATAATATTACTCTTAATGTCATTTAATTATAAATATAATATATATCCATTAATTAATGATATTAAAATATGTTTAAATATGGTAACTTGCAAAACTTAAGGAAAAAAGTAATGCACATCCCTTGTTTTCACAATTGAAAACATCTTTTTTTTTTTGTTTTTATATTTTAACCTATTTTCGTTTTTGTTTTCTAAAATTTATTTTCATTTTCAATTACCAAACATATTTTCACTCATATTTTTTCGTTTTTTGGAAAATAAAAACAAAAACTTTCTCTATTTTTTGAAACCAAACACTACCTTACTTTCTACTTAAAACTAAAGTTGTGAAATCTAATATGCCGGTCTCATATATATGATGAGAGTATAAACCTTTTTTAACATGTTAATCAAAATTTACCCATCTCGTTATGAAATTAATATTTAAATCACACTTAACTGAAATCATATTACAAGATTAGGTATGTCACAATATTTTACCATTATAATTATTCATAACTTGACATTAATTGACTTTAATCTAGATTAATTTACTATATTAATCCAAAATATAAGATAAATGCAACATTTATACCTACCATTACCATTTTTTTTTCTGCTTCAGTAGTAAGTTCTTGGAACTCTGCAATAATACTTTCTTTGAAACTTGATAGTTCTTTTCCACTTTTAGGATGTGCAATCTGTTGTCACAGCTGATTTGATGAGCAACGAACATTTCTTCTGTAACCAAAGCGAAAGTTTTCCTTCTTCCATTTTATGGCTTTGAAGATTTTCTATCCTTTCCTCTCATAGGAACCAATGTAGAATTCTAGATCCCTATCTTTACCTCTGTCTTAGAATTTGACTACAAAAGGATATATTGGAGCTTTCTTTTGTCCTTAGCTAGACATTTCCCTCATTTATTCCTAACATAAAGCAGTGCCCATCTCTAGTTTTTACTAGCGTTTCTTCGGTTTCTGAAAGTTACTTTTCACTGCGGCTAAAGCGCGTGAGAACACGTGCCCATGCAGCAGAAAAGTTAACGTGATTGTCAGCATTATGCTTCCTTAGATTAGAGCCATTTCAAATCGTGTGAAGGTTCGGATTCCTAAGAAAACATGTAAGGTGGAAATTAGAATATCATCATTTCCATCCCATATTCTCTCTCTAGAGGGAGAAAAAAAAAAAAACTCATGGGAAGAGCCTCCTTTGCACTTTCTGTTGCTATCTTAAAATCAACTCAATATAAAAACACAAGCTAAAATGAGTAAACAACATAACACTTTTATTGAATTTTATTAATGTTGATTAATTATATAGAATTTTAATTGTGTTGATTTAATTATTTTCAAGACAATTATTCGTTATAAATTAAGAGTGCATGACTCTTTTAATAAGACGTTTCTTTTTTTTCTGTTTTGTTTTTTAAACCTAGGGAAACATGTAACAAAATGTATAGTTGAGTAGGGATGAATTATGCATTTACTAATGCATTTTTTACATTAAAATTATGTATAAAATTATTTTATACACTGTCGAGTTTTTAAAGATTAGAAAATTAACATATGTCCATTTAAGGTATATGTTTAAAAAATAAAAAAAAATCAATATTATTAAAAAATAACATATGAATATTTGTTTATTTTACTTGTGTAATATAAAAACTCCACCAATGAAAAATGTGATAATTTTCCACTGTTTGAATCACCAAAACAATTTGATTCAAATCCACATGAATTTTACTCCTTGTTGACCCATAAAATCATTGTCCGAAATCTCATATAACTCAAGCTGGATGTATTGATTCAAAAATTGAAGCGACTTGAGCTTGAACTTAAATTTATCTTTCTAATTGCATTATTTCAGTTGAAAAAGCAGATAGCACACTCACTATGCACATTCTTTGTATTTTTTTAATGGTAAATAATATTTCATTAATAGGAAAGAAAGTACAATGTGCAGATTTTCTGTTTATTTACATGCCTAATTATCTATGTCCGTATGAATTTGGTTTTTTTTTTTTTTTTTTTTAAGTATGGTCCTCATGAATTTAGGAACTTTTTATTTCTTGGATGCAGCATAAGATCAACAATAGAGAGGTACAAGAAGGCATGTTCAGATAGTTCAAACACAAACACGGTTACTGAAATCAATGCTCAGGTAATTAAATATTTGCATGCACGCTTGATTAAGAGAAGGATGCGGAGGTATAGCATACAATATACTATTTCATCAAACTTTTAAAAGTAAAAAAACAAACTTTGGCTTTGACCTCCAAGTTTTAATTGGTTTATACAATTACTTTTAAGAGGTGGTATACAAGTTTAGAATTTAAATATCAGCCCTTACAATTTTTTATCCTTAGATTATGACCTTCTTTGTAAAAAAAAAAATAAAAATACAAATTTGACCATCATTCTTTCCCAATTCTTTTAGTGAATATGACATTTTCAGTCATAATTTGAGTAGATGGAATTGATTGGATTGGATCCTTTAGTTATTAAAGTATTTTTCTTTGAAAATTAAAAGGAAGTATTATTAATAGCAATGAGTTACAAAACTATAACCGTACCACTAGATAACAATCTCGATTGACTCCCATCTTAGCAAGAAAGTCAGCAAAATAATTATCTTCCTGAAGTACTTGAACAAAGGTGACTTTCCGGATACTGACATATAAGTTGAGAAGCCTGTTAAAAATGTCATTATACTTCCATGGGCTGTCATTAAGCTTGTTAAGCCTAGCAATGACCACTTTGAGTCGCTCTCAACAATTATCTCTGAAATGGATTGATGTTTGCTTCAACCACTATATACAGATAGGGCTTCAAGAACAGCAAATAGTTCAGCTAAATTTGAGTCTTTGATCCCAATGTTCTTCAAGAAAATAAGCAAAATATTTACCTTCTCAATCCCGAACATTTGTAGTTTGTCAGGGCAGAGGTTATAATTAAAGGGTTCAATAATATTTGATACATAATATGCATATATATATATATATATATATATTTCAAGTTTTTCATTGCCTTATTTGTTGTTAATTATAACATGCATGTTTCTAAATTTTTGCTTGAAATGGTAGACTAACTCTATAGGCACAATGCAAGGGAACCTCTTCTGAGTAGTAGACCCTCATATCATAATATGAATTTGCATGAAAAGTATAAGCATTTCCACAAACTTGTTCAATGAAAGAATCTTATCTTTTCTTGATATTTTGATTTATCAATTGGATGCAGTATTATCAACAAGAATCAGCGAAGTTGAGACAGCAGATTCAAATGCTACAGAATTCTAACAGGTAATTGAAATCCTTGAATAATGATGATCATATGAACATAGAAAAAAATGGAGCAGTGCCAATTTCAAGAAAGAAAACTTCTAGAAATTAAATTCTATTTTCCAAGAATGGCTTTTTCCCCATTTCCTCTTTATCCATTTTGGTTGGTAAAAAAAGAAAGAAAGGGAAAAAGAAAATAAAAGTTTTGATCTGATAAAAATGTATTTAATATATATGCGCATTGCACATCATGTATTAATCAACTTTCCTATATATAAATTGAAGGACATAAAATTTTGATAAAAACACGTTTGGTATTTGTTTACATTGATTCAATTTTGCTTATACCATTTTGTTTTTTCTTTGTTTGAAGGCACCTAATGGGAGATTCCTTGAATTCCTTAACTGTGAAGGAGTTAAAGCAGATAGAGAATAGGCTCGAACGAGGCATTACTAGGATCAGGTCAAAGAAGGTAAATACATTGCCAACAAAAACAAGAAGGAAATATGACATTTAAATGCATCTAACCCATAAATTATTGCTGCGGAAATTTATGTTCAAGATATCCACTCAATTATCAATATTATTCATCGCAACAATTGAGGTCGGGTGAGTTTTTGCTCATTTCAATTTCGATTTAATTGATTTCAGGTTACTATTTTTTTATATCTATCTCCAACCCAATATATATTTATAACTCACATGCAATTCGCATTCGATCTGAAACTAATTTAATAATTTTAATTTAGTATAATATTTATAAAAATATTATTTTTAATATAAATTACATTTTAATTATATAAAAATATAATATTTTCATTAAATTAAGATATTAAACACTTCCTCCATCCCAATTTATTTGTCTTATATTGATTTTTACCGAGATTAAAAAAAATTTTGACTTTAATGTATTTAATATTAAAATTAATTTCTTTACAAAATTAAAATTTCATTATTTTTAATGTTAAAAAGTAAAAAAAAAATTCATAAAATATAATTTTAAAATATAAAAATGTAAAAGTTTTAAATCTTCAAAAAATGAAATAAGACATAATTTTAGAATATCCCAAAAAGGAAAGATAGACAAAGAAAATGGGATAATGAGAGTAATACTTTTATTAATATATATATATATATTAATATAAAATTAAATAAATAATAAAATATATTTTTTATATATATCTCGAGACGGGTTAGGATGGAGTATCCTAACACACGCCTCCTACCCAACTTCAATTTAAAAAATAAAAAAAACCTACCCCACCTTACCCTACCTCCAATTTTAAAAAAACCGCATTTATTAGATCAGGATAAGTCGAACTACATTGAATATGTCTTATTTTGTCATCCCTAAACATAAAACTATAATTATATCTATAGTATTCAACCTCCCTAACTGAAATTTATTCTAACAAATCTTTTCAAAATGGAAAGAGTTGCATTAACTAAAATTATATCTTTATTTTTTCAATAAATCATGTATATTAAAGTTGTCAAAATTTACTCGAATCTAAAAAATTTATTCAATACATTTAGATCATGTTTAGTGTATAAGATGATAGATAGGATAGAATGATGATTATCTTATATTATATTTGATTTATGTCTAAAGATAGGGATAAGATTACATGGAGGATTAATTATCTGCTTGGTATAAGATGATTTAATCCTCTCAAAATGGAGATAATTATTTTTAATCTATGGGATCTAGCTTATATATCTTATTATACTTTTAAAAATTACATCAATAATTTAAATTATATAAATTTTGAAAAAGAATAATTTTGATCAATAAATAAATAATCTTATCTTAATTTTTACACACATGAAATATAAGATAGAATGATATTATCTAATATAATCTTATTCATAATATTATCTTATCTTATCATATTATAATGTTGTATACCAAATGTATCCTTAGTAGCCCAACTTAATTTGATAAAAAAATTAATAACTTAAACCCATCCAACCTGAATTCAAAATCACACAAATTCAAACAATTCAAAAAACTAATATAAAATTAAATTAATTTAACTTTAAAACTTAATAATTTTGACTTTGAGTGATCTAATTCTAAATAATCTAAATATAAAATAGGAAACAATTGAAGCCAAAATTATTCGAACTTAAAATTATTCAAATTCGAAATCACTTGAATTTTCTTCAACCCAATGATCCAACTTTGAGTGATCCGACTCAAATCTCACTCGACCAACCAATTTTCATCTCTGAGTGTAGATTCATCTAACATGTAATTAATGGCATGCTTTTATACGGACTACTCTTATAGTTAATGTCTATACATTTTTCTTTTTCTATATCTTCTCTTAGATCTCTAATATAAGTTTTGTTTATTTTTGTTTTGGTGCAACAGCACGAGATGCTGCTAGCTGAAATAGAGTACTTGCAAAAAGGGTGAATTAATTCTAACATTCTTACGACTTTCCAGGCTAATTCTAAATTTTATGACATTTGGTATATCTTACGGTCTACCTTGATTATGACATTTGGCATATCTTACGGTCTACCTTGATTTTATATCTTATAGGAAATTGAGTTGGAAAATGAGAGCGTTTGTCTCCGAACCAAGGTAAACACATAATGTTACAGCCTCCCTAATATTTGAGAAATTTTCTGCTAAGGATATGTGCACTGCTATATATCCCAACACATACACTCATTCACAAATGTATATACACATAAACGAATTGTTTTGGAATAGATAGGATGTATGTCTATAATGCATTGTTTTACTATTACTACGGACTAGCTATGGGTATGAGTGTCTCCAAATATCTTCTAGTTATTTGAGTTTCAACTAAGTGAATACTCAAGTGTTATTTGTTTATTATTGAACGAAACTCGAGTAACTTGAGTAACAATTTAAGTATTTTAATATTTGGCTTGAAAAGCTATCAAATCAATTTTTTTTTAATCTTTTTAAATATTTCTTTGTTTTATATAAATTAATTAGAGATACCTAAAGGTCAAGGTACTCATTTAGGCTCATAGGCTAAGCTAGTTCAATTCGGATAGGATTTGGATATAAATATTATAGTTGAAGCTGACCCAAAAAATTATGTTTTATTTATAAATAAAATCTTTAATTTAAGTGTATTATATATTTTAAAATATTTAAATATAATAAAATTTTTTGTTATTTTAATAATATATACGTAGGTGAACTAGGTGTGGCTCAAACTTCAATTTGAAAAATGTTGATTCTAGCATGACTCATGGGCGCCTCTCATTTTATATATATGACAAACTTACAAAATACAAAATCTACATCCTAACATAATTTTGTTTAATGATAAGCACATGAATTCATAAAAGAATTAAATTTGAATCTTTCCTTCCATCAAATCAAAAAACAATATGGATAAAAAATATTTATTTGCATATGTGACATTTGAAGGACTTAACCAATTGCATGTGCTTTGCTTACTTTCAAGAAAATATACTTTTTTTTTCCTTTTCTTCACATGTAAGTTGATTTCATATCGTTAGATCATAAAGTCTAATGTTATTAAAACAACAAAGCTTTTGCACTCTACCAGCAGCCAAGCATAGAGGTTACATATCATATTGATGTAGGTAGATATATAATTACTAACAGAAGTACACTAATTACACGTATATAGAACTATCTGAAGGTATTAGTATAATTAAATATTGGTAATTAATACTACTTTTCACTTCCAAAACTCACATTTTTTTTCAAGTAAAAAGAGAGGCCTAGAGGATAGAGGAAGGGAATGAACACATCATTTGCAAGAATCACTGGCCAAGTTCTCTGATCGATGAATACATTTTTCACTCCCACACTCGTATTTATCAATCACAAAACTTGGCGAGTGATGATGAAAAAGTAAAAATGTTAAAACGGGAGGGGAATGAATTTCATCTTTAATGTAAAAGTGTACAATTTAAGAAGTGATCACAGTATACCCTAAATATCAGGAGGAGTTTAGGTAATATTGTAACAGACACTAATTAATTTTGTGCAACTTATTTCAAACGTTAGATTGCAGAAATTGAGAGGCTTCAGCAAGCTAACATCGTTACTGGAACTGAGCTGAATGTTATCCAAGCGTTAGCTTCTCGCAATTTCTTCAGTCCAAATGTGATTGAGGGACCTGGAACTGCCTACTCACATCCTGACAAGAAGATTCTCCATCTTGGGTAATTCTCTATTGCATTTTATTTTTATCCACTAATTTGTTTGCTTCCAGGTAGTTTTTTGTAACGTTAATTCTTTACAAATGAAATGATGGCCATATATACGTATATCTTTGCGTGGCAGGAAAAATGGAAAAATATAAAAATAAAAAATTTGTTAGTCAAATAATTATGTTACAAAGTGGGAAAATGATTATGAAACTAATTATTAGATTAACAATTTTTTTATCCTTCCTACCAATCAAATCTTAAATTCTAATCCATCTCAGACACTGCCAGTGCCAACTCAAAACCATAGGGTGAAATTCATATGATCAAGCATACAATGCATGCACTGTTAGAATTATTTTATCCTCTATTTTACTATTTTTTGGAGTTCCTTTCTTGACTTCTATGGAAAGAAGTGATATTCTTAGTACATCTAAGAGTCAATTATATATTGTTCTACATTAGGCACGGTGAGATAATTTTCTATCTTCAATTTCTCCTAGAATATTTGAACTCTGACCGCTGCAAAATAAAATTTTAAAATCTCAAAAAAAAAAAAAAAAGCAATATATGGACTCTTTGTTTTTGCATGTCAGCATGTGTGACTCTTTGTTTTGTACTTTAATAATTCTTATACTTAACTTTAATTTACATTACAAAATTAGGGGATGGCACTAATTAATAACTCGAGTCTTTGCAACATTCAATGCAGGTAGAGTACAAGAGAAGCTGATATCTGAAAATGGTGTTTTGATAATACAGTAAATAAGCATGCATTTAAACCATATGCACTGTACAACTACTATGAAGATGTAACTGTTAATTGTTATGTGCTTGTTTTTGGAGTATCATTCTGATATATATGGACATGTTTAATTTTGCCTCTGAAACTGTTTTATTAATTAATGTTATGAATGCATGCCTTAGACTAGAAACCATTATTATATATGTTAAGTAATTCCGTATTGAAAAGATTTACAGAAATAATAGTAAGTCTATGTATTCCGGTTGAATTTAAATTTGACTTTTTGAATAAAAAAAATTATAGCATAAAAGTAGCAAGACAATAGATTGATTTGTTTTGTGTATTATATAAAGTTAATGTTTGATACATTGACAGTGTAAATTTCTAATTTCATAAGAGGAGTCAAGAGATTAATGTACTTTTTATTTTTATTTTTAATTATTTTTTAAATATATATGACACCTTCTTAACCTTACTCGTGGGATTTAAAAACTTCATTGACAATGGATAAAATAATTTTAGAGGTACATTGACCTTTATTTACCAAAAATAGATATTTTTCAAACTTTTTTTTTCATTTATTGGTTCCATTTAGTAGTTAATGTATAGAGCTCTATAACTATACATTTTAGATGTATTTGGTATACAAGATAGGATAAGATGATATTATGAATAAGATTAAATTGAATAATATCATTTGTTTGATGTGTATAAAGATTAAAATATGATAATTTATTTATTAATTAAAATTATCCTTCTTTAAAATTATACAATTTAAATTATTGATATAATTTTTAAGAGCATAATAGAACATATAAATTTAATCACATTGATTAAAAATATATTTTTTTTTTACTTTGAGAGGATTGAACCATTTTATATTAAGAAAATAATCCATCATTCTTATAATTTTATCTCTTTCTTTAAATACAAAATAAATATAATATAAAATAATTATCACTCTATCTTATCCATTATCTTACACTCCAAATATGACCTTTACACGTTATAGTTTAAAACATTGTTCAAATATTCATACTATAAAGGGTAAAATGGGAAGAAAAGGAAATAGAGAAAATAAAAATTTGGTTAGAAAAGGTATTTAGTTATTTTACTTCAAAATTTTATATTCATTTTTAATTATTCCTTCGTCTCAAATTGTTAGTTCCTTTTATTTTCATGAATTTAAAAAAAATGCTGACTTTTCTGTATTTAATATCAAATTTTTAATTCTTTGTAAATTTGATGGTCTATAGTTTTTAACTTCAAAAATAAAAAAAAATTATGAAAAATAATTCTAGAATATAGAAAAGTAAAGATTTAAGTATTTTAAAAAATAAAAAATAATTTTAAAATTTTCAAAAAAAAAAAAGGTTAAAAACTATATCACTTCTATCATATTGGTATTTAAAGAATAAAAATTTACAATTAAATACTCGAAATTTACTTTTGTTAAATACTATAATCTTTTTACTAACTATGTAAATTAATTGACAAATGTGACAAAAATGTTCAATAAAATAATGACATTCGATAAAAATATCATATCATTTTATATATTTGAATTAAAAAGCACAATAAAAAATCAATTTTAAAATTATTAAAAAAAAAGAAAAACAAAAAATAAGAATCAAGGGAGACGAAATTGAAGAAAGGGAGGAAAATAAGAGAAAAAGAGAAGGGATGGGGATGGGTGACCAGCTGATTGTCACCGATCAACTAGTTCCAGATAGATCAACTCTAACTTGATTGGTGTTGATCTACTTAATCTGAGGTAGATCGACATCAATCCGTCTTGAATTGACCAATCAACATTAACCCAATCATCCCCTCGTCTTTCTTTTGCTCTCCCTTCTCTCTCTCACCCTTCTCTCTTCCATTCTGTTATCTCCCTAATCTTTTTTTTTTTTTTTTTTTTTTCTCCTTTTTAAATTTTTTTCTAAATTTTAAATCTTTTAGAATTTTCATATTTTGTAATTTTTCAAAAAATTTATAAACTTGGATAATGTTTAATTTTGAATTTTTGAAAAATGATTTTTTATGTCTAATTTTGAATATTTCGGGAATTTTTCATAAAAAGTTTTCATATATATATATATATATTAAGATTTTTAACATTTTCCATCGTGTTTTAGATTTTTTTTTATTATTTTTTAAGTTTTCTATTTTCTCTTGAATAACAAAAGACTCGTCGATAACATAACAATGATCGAGCAATTACTTGATAACTGATATTTTATGATTGACCAACGAAACTACGTCATAACAGACTTAGCTTTCGAGATAAAATACTCGACGAGAATGTAAATTTTAAATATTTAATTGCAAATTTTAATTCTTTAGATAAGACAAAAGTAACGTAGTACTAGAGTTAATGTAGAATTTAACTTAAAAAATATACATATAGACAAAGAAAACGAGAAAGAATAGTTTTTTGAACCAGACATTTTTAAAAAAATCACAATAAAGTGAAATAACTGCCAATTATTTTCCTGCTCATTTTCTTTTCCTTCATCTAATAAGAAACATACATAAAACCACAGTGCTCAAATCTCTGAACGCTTCAACATTTACAAAGACATAAACTTGGGTTGGATAATAAGACAAGCTCAATCAGGAGAACTGTGATCAATTTACGCAGGCTTTAAATATTATAGCATTTTTAAAAGATTCAAAATATTTGCAGTCACAGACTTCATGCTAGCAGGTTAAGAAAAAGAGACAATTTTCACAGTTGCATCCATAGCTAAGTCAGAGGATGGCACACCGAGCAGCTTGCTTGCGGAGCTCCTCAGTCTCTCTCTGTGCTCTTTCTAAATTCTCTCTAAGCTCTCGAATTTCATCATTTGATTTCATTTGAGCAAACTGTGCCATCTCTTCAGCCTTCAGCCGTGCTGCCTGCTCCTCCGCTAACTGCTGTTCCAGCCTGGTGGTTGCCTTCTTCAGCTTTGACTCAACCTATAGAACACCACTACCATCCATTAAGCAGAAAGTCTACGAAATGTTTAGCTTTGATCACTGAATCGCACAAAAATTTTCTCAATAAACCAAAGAGCAAAAAGCATCTTTTGAAACAGAATAGACAAGCAATTTAAGTGCAATTATGCTCAAGTTAAGAAAGTACCGCCTTTCACTCTTTCAACATCACAAATTAACCAAACTGTTATCATATTTCAATTTGATATATATTCCTATTTAAGCACACAATATGAATGCATATTAACCAATTCCAAGGAAGCTTCCCAATAACAAAGCATACAATAGTACAGTTGACCAAAAGTCCCAGCCAGGACTTAGATACTCAAACGGAATTAAACGTTATGAGATTATAGTGGGGGTGAAGCGGGAGGAAAACAGACTACATTTATATTCAAAAACCCATATTTTTAGAGAAAAAAACTACACAATGTTTTGCCATTTACTAGCAGTCAACTAGTTTTCTCCCAAAAAATATAATAATAATTTCAATTGTATGCATTTATTTCTAAACTTATGCCTCAAATTGTTCCTTCTGATACATGAAAATGGCTTGGGCTATATTTGTGATTAACATACACGGGTCAATCTTGAGCCACAAACAAAAATGGTTGAGGTAGGTTGATAGCTCGCATAAAACCAGTCATTCATTTCAGTTCACACGCCCAAACTGCCAAAGGACAGATAAAAATTACACAAGTTTTGGCTATTTCCTTGGAATCAATTGATTTTCTCCTAAAAGTAATCTAATATAAATATATAAAATTTAAAACTTTTGACAAAAAAAAAAATTTTCAATGTAGATGACCTATATTATTGATATATAGATGATTTTGAAAAATTGCCATGTGTTTTATATTATATTTTATTGAATTATTTTTTAAAAATTAAATTAATTACATTTATTTTTTATTATTATTTACTTTAAATCACTTTCAATTAAATTCATATTAAAAGTAATAAAATTTTAATTGCCATAGGAAAATTTTTCATTCTCTTTTTTCAATTATAATATTTAACTATTAAATTACATTTTTATAAAAAAAAATCACTTTTTAATTTTGAAATCTATGACCTATTTATTTACTCCACCTTTTAAACTATATATGCACGTTTAATATGTATATATATATATATATATATTAATTTTAAAATGATTAATAGATAATCAAATCAATTAAAATTAATTTTGAAATATATCAAATAAAATGAGTTTCATTACCTTTATTACACTATTTTCAAAACCCTTATTTTTTCATTTCTCCTAAACAAGTAAAATAAATAATATGTTTGATTTTTTCAATTGTCAAACATAAATTAATCTTAATTTAAAATGCTATTACTGACCTTGATTTAGTTCTTAAATTTATTTTGGTGAATTAGACATTCAAAAGTTACAAATAATCCCATAATTATAAATAAGAGTGTTTTGGGATGCTTAAGAAATAAATTACATCTTTACAATATTTTTTTTCCCTTTGTCGTAATATTCTTTTACCATGCAATAAATTTAGTTTAGGTTTTTTTTCTTTTTGTTTGTGATGTTATATATAAATGGATTGGATGCTCAAATTATTTTATATTTGGTTTTGCATTATTTTGGTACTGCTTTACTTTTTTCTTTTGTGTTAAAATCCTTTAAATTAATGCTTCATCATAGTTGTATAATGATTTTTCTTTTAAATCATTTTGAAAAAAAAAATTTAATTAAGCAAAATTTCTTGAATTTAATGTTTTGGATTTCTTTTTAAGTTTTGCCTATTGTTAATAGTTTCATTATATAGTTAAACCATACATATATTATATAATATATATATATATATATCTTTATACATTTTTTTTAGTTTTTGTTATGATATTGATTTATATACCAAATTCTCATTATTCTTTATCATGAAATAAAGGAGCAAGAATGCATAAATATCAATTTATATATCTTATCATATGTATCAAGTATGTATTTTATTTTTTACATTTTGTATGAAGTGAATTGATCTATTTCCTTTTTTTTTAGTGATATGATTTTTTTTATCATTTTGATATTATATTTGTTGCTTTGATATTATTACTTTCATGATTTAACCTGAAGTGGAGTTAATTATTATCAACTAAATGAAAATTGATAGAAGTAGCTATTTAGTTTCAATTTTTTGATACATATAATAAGTATTATAAGGTTTACGGTAAATGATAATTATTTCCACCAAATAATTCAAAAAGATAATTTTTTTTCAACATTTTACGTTTTTTTTTTTTTTACAAATTTTTTAAGGATTAGAAAAATTTTTTAAAACATTTAAAATAAGTTGAATTTCTTATAATTTAAAAATACATATAATATCATTTGGATTTCAAAAGAGTTAAATCTAAATATGAACTTTTATTACCTTTAATATATTGAAATATATAATTGAAAAAAAATGGTGAAATACACATAATAAATTATTAGTATTATATATATTAAAGCTAATAGGTTTAATTTTTATGAGAATACTAATAACATATTTTATCATTAAAAAAATTTTTTTGTCAAAATTGTAAATATAATGTTTTTTAAAGTAAGATAAGCTAATGTTTTTTAGATAAATAATACTTTAATTCTTAAATAGTAATATATATAATAAAAAATTATACAATTTTGTGATTGATTTATCTTTTTTACATGTAATAGTCTAATTTAGTATCACATGTCTTTTGATTATTACATATCCAAATTAATTTACTTGATAAAATTTGACTATCAATGATATTATAAATTTTAGCTTGAATTTGGTAAAAAATTTTAATTATTAGTAAAATTCAATTACAAATTCAAATAAAAAATAAATTTGCTACCCATATATTCAAATATTTCTATACATAATCATCTCTCAATCAAAAAAATTTTTTATTCTATTTTTATTGCCTTTTATTTTAAGGTGCTTATAAATTAAATGAACATTATTACTAATTCAAATATTTTTTGTGTAATTACTTCCAATCTATTGTTATTGTTAGTTAACTATTAGTATTTAAAATTTTTATTTTACTTTATTTAAAAAATTATTATAAAATAAAATTATCACTTGTACATCACACAAGCTTAAATCTAGTAATAATTTAAACTATAGCCATCTTATTTCTAAACTAATGGATTTAAATTGTTCCTTCTGAGATGTGAAAATGGTTGAGACTATATTGTGATCACCATACATAGTCGATCTTAAGCCAAAATGATGAAAGGTTTGAGGTGGGTTATAGCTGGCATAAAATTAGTGACACCCAATGAACATGAATTGTAAAAAAGGAAATATTTAAGACATTTACTTCTAATGACATAATGCATTAGACCCAGGTATAGCAGCACATCAGATCAATGCTTAGATCTAAGAAGTAAGCAGTGACTCTCACACATCAATCAACAGCCATATGTAAACTTAAAGTAGGTGAAGCAACAAAGAAACTTGGTAATAGATATAGTAAACTTTAGTGTATATGGAAAGGAATGTATAGATGTAAAGTAAGAACTATATTAAAGGTGTAATCGATCGAATTCGAGTTGATACAGTATTAAGCTCAAACTCGATTCGAAATTCAAGATTCAAAACTCGACTTGAATTCGATCAAGTTTTATCTAGTTGACTCAGATAGAAATCGAGCTATTTGAACTCACTCGATTAAGCTCGATTAACATGTAAAAATCAGTTTGATTCTTATATTCGATAAAAATTCAATTATTTGTGCTTGAACTCAAGCTCAAATTCGAAATATTTTATTAATTAAAATAATAAAAATATATTAAAATATAAAAGCTCGATTAGGCTTACGAGCTACTCAAGCCGAGTGTACGAATGCTCGAACTTGACTTGATCGATAAGTCGAGCCACTCGAGCTCGAACTCAATTTGATTATAATCAAGTCAAATTCAAGTATTATTCAAGTCGAACTCGAGTAACTTACGAGTACTAATGTATCATTTACACCCCTAAATTACATAGATGGTTAGTATAAACTATATTGCTCTGGGTATATCAGCATGTCAATGCTTGTGCTCCTCAAGTTGGATTAGACAAGGCCAAAATGTAACATATTCGGAAAACAGGAATAGACTACTAGAGATTCCTAGCTAAGAATAATTATCATGGTTAATTTGAAAGGGCATATGGGAAAAGACGGTATAGGATTCAAAAGGTTACACAGTTATGGTTTTGGAGATAGAAATTAGGATAGAGACAAATTTCAAGTTTTCAATTGCATGCAATACCTGGTGTCAACTAATAATTCTTTCAAAAGGACTTAAATTTAATACTCCTTCTATTTCAAATTTCATGTCCACTTTTGACTTAGCACGAAGATTAAGAAAATTGCTTTTGACTTTTTTTTTATTTTAAAAAAATGTAATATTGATAAACAGTTTTTAATGCCATGAAGTAAATATATATATTAAAAATTTAAATGGAACAAAGAAAATGTAAGAGTTACAAGTGCTCGAAAAAGGAAAAAGGAAATAGTTTTAGAACGGCCAAAAATGAAAGATTAAAATTCAATTTGGAACAGAGTAAAATTAATAAAACTGGATATATTACTTGTCAAATAGGTTTCGTCCTAACTTTTCATCTTACACAAGCAGTGATAAAATACCAGACAAGCTGAAAGGGACGTTTGGTAAGTTATACCAGCAGTGATAGTAGGATATCAGCCAAGATAAAAAGATTTCTCTTTTTTAATTTAAAACTCACCCTACTTCCAAGGAACAGATTATTCAGCAGTAAAAAAAAAATGACACACAACTGATAGTTGTAGCTGAATAAAAAAAATGAATGCAAGGTAATGGTTTAAAAAGAGAAGTAGATGATATTTATAGACGCTGAGTAGGTTGGTGAGGGTGAGGCACCTGAGTTGGCATTTTTTCATCGGACTCAAACTACACTACAATTATTTATTCTCTCCCTCCCTTCACTATGTATGTCAAGAAAATGTATCTTTCCTCTTTCTTCAAATTATCTCCTCGAGAAATATTTCTTTTACAATTTCTTTTCTAGGTTTATCACCCTTCTAGGGCAGCCAAACATCTAGTAGAGAAAGAAATCAAGTTGTCGGTAAAACAGTGGAAGTAGCAACAATGGAAAACAAGTTTAGAGGACAGCATAGATAGTTGGAGTTGCACACGTACAGCAAAGAACTAAAGATGGGGTATAAAGGATTTGATTGATACATAAAGAATGGAAGAAGTGGACTAGCTGTAAAAGAAAAGTCAAATGGGATAAACTAGTAAAGAACTTGGTATCTCCACACATTCCACAATGTTTGGACCTAACGCAAGGAAGACAGACACAAACATTCATCTAGCCAACCTCAACTGGTTGAGATGAGCTGAGCTGGGAGATGATGTCAGAATGAGAAAAAAGCATAATTTCTTCTAACAAAATAAATCTGAGTAAATGCAATGCAATATAGGCATTTTCACCATGAGAAACCTACAGAAACAACTTGAGATGAGTAAGCAACAGGTATGTACCACAACTGCCCTCCTTTTGACTATAAGGAAAACTGTACAGCTAAAATTCAAATAAATAATAATAACAAAAAAAACTATACACAAGAAATAACACCTGACTGTGGTGGGGACAGCCTGATAGAGTACAATGGCAGCAACCTGCAAAGCTGTTTAGAAGGCATGCTAAGACTGGTTCTAGAGCCAAAGCCTTGATTTGGCACATGTTCAAAGATGAGAAGCTTATTGGCATATTTGAGTAGGCCTTATTAGTTGTTTAGAGTCATAAATTTTTTTTATCTTTAAGCTAATAATGCAGGTTCTTTTTTTATTTTCACTCTTCTTCAATTTTAAATGTTAGGGGCAGTGATATAATTTACCGAGCAGCTCAAAATTGAAGATTTCTAATTCTAGGCTCATATTTTGGGTGATCCTAGTGTTACTTGGTTTTTATTCATAGTTTATGTTGCAGCGATTGCTTATTCTTATTTTGACTGAACTATATACACTAACAAAGATCTATTAAAAAAAAAGGTCAAAAAGAATTCTATAAAAATTGAGATGCACATCACTATCAAATATAATAAGAAAAATATTCAGATTACCATCTCGGTAATTCGCCTAAGCTGTTGTTCATATGATCTTTCAATCTGCTCCTTAAACTCAGATATTTTTTGCTTGGAGTAGCCTTTTAGAGAAGCAACCTTTTCATGTTGATCATGGAGTTTAATCGCCCCTCTCTGTCCAATAAATACAGTCACTCACATCACTTCTTATATTACAATCATCACAAACTGAAAAAGAATGTAAAGTCACTAACCTTCAGTTCCACAAACAACTCATCAGAATATGGTTTCCCACCATTCTGTTCTATGACCATGTTCACAAGCGAAAGAAGATCCTGAACTTGTTTTACTCTCTTGGTTTCATCCTTAGTCTTGTTGTCAAAAAGTACACATCGATTTTCACAAAGAACTAGAATGTCCTGATCAATTTAAAGTAACAAAAAAGTAAGCATCCATTGCTATTGCACATCAATTATCCAGAAGTTCCAAAATGCTCACAGACAAAGTTCTGACAACTTTAACCTAAAACCAGAATTATCTGAATCACTATGTAAATTGATAAATATTCTTTTGGTTGATCAATTCATGAAGAGAGCTATACTTCACCTATAGACTAGCATTCTATGCTACCCAAGCATTCCCCCATTATCCAACGAATTTCAGAGCATTGAAAAATACAGCTTATTGTTACATCCATCTACACTATAAGCACTTTCTTGATGCCCAAGAAAAAGAGTACATTCAAGAGATATCCAAACAAGCTTAAACAAAGGCAGAGAAGAAAATTCATAAATTTTGGACAGAAAATTACAAATAAGAGTCTGCCTCCGTCCAACCAAATACATTAAACAATACTTATGGGGAGATTACACCAGACTTCAAGCTTTTTTCATCAACCAATTTATCATTTGAATAAGATACACCTAGTGAATAGATTTTGGCAATAAAGTATTGTAGAAGCAATTAAAAAAAATACCATAGAATCCATCAAATATTCAACATGATATATGGAGATCAATTGATTCCTCATTATTTCTTTTACATATGATAGAAAAAGCCCTTGTCATGGGCCTGTCATTCATGAGAACCTCTTTGTCTGCGATGCATACAAAGACAGCCACTTGGAGGCACCTAAGCAGTCAAATCTTAAATCAAACACTCGGGCATCTAGCAGCCCTTGAACTAAGATAAAAGACTGATCATAAAGTTTATGCCATCCAACTCAAGCACCAATAACTTGATCTCTAATCCTAACATGCATCCCCCAACCATATCCAATTCAAAATCATGAAAGCCCCAAAATGTTAGTTCCAACTAAAATTCACACCAAAACCAACCAAATTATGAACTTTTACGGTTCGTCAAATTGAATATGTCTATAAAGAACTATAACATTGATATGTACGGACAAGCTAATAAGATCATATGTCCACACAGAAAATGTATTAAAACTTTTTAAAAAATAAAAAATTTGAACTTTACATCTAAGCAAATCACTATACCTTCATAATTAGAAAATATAAAACATGATAGGAAACTATTAAGAGATTTAGGAGCCCAATCTTTTTGTACCTAATCACTTCATCAGGATTGAATTCTTCAATCCTCAACAAATAAGTGAACGGAAAACAATAAAGTCGGTCATAATTGAAAAATCAAGTTGCATTTAGTTTACGAAGCAACCTTTAATGGCCGTGGACAATCACGACCCAAATAATCTTCCAATGTTTCCTCGTTTTCTTCAAGCTCATCCCCACCAGTAAACACTACAATCATGTAGTTAATAATTTTGCTTCCAAACAAAGTCTGCAAACTATGCAGTGCAGCTTCCTCTTCTTGTGTAAAGCGGGTCCTAACTGAGAAAACCAGAAGAACTGCATGGATACCATCCTTGGCAAGATCAATACATTTGACAATTTCTTTTCCAATGAATTCAGATCCAGCTGAAAAATCAAACAGCCCTGCAATGACATGTTAAATTAGTCCTTGGAAAGAATAGCCTTTCCATGACCAAGTTATTGATACAACCAAATATAATAGGATTGGAAAAATGATTCGAGTAAGACACCATACCAGGAGTATCAATAACATTAACAATTTGCCCATCTTTGAGCACTCTTCTCTGCAATTCACAAGTACTAGTAATCCCAGATGAGCTAGCCCTTGATTTGAAGGCCCTTTTTCCAAGAATGCTATTGCCAGTCGCACTTTTCCCATTACCTGTACGTCCAACTAAAACCACAGTCCTGACTCCATTGGAAGGTGAAGTAAACTCCCAATCATCATCTATCGCACTTCCGCCCATTGTACAAGACTACCTGCTACATTGGAAAACACTTTTACTCAAGACCGCATCTCATCAGTCAACAATGTTCCTTTGTTTTTCAGAACATTTACAATAATAAATGAACCTAAATTGCCATCCAACCACTTCACCAAACATGGAAAGCTACTTAACTCCAACCAATAAAATATTAACAAATATGAAATATATAGATATTTATAGTTCCAAAAGAACGAGTTAATTAAGCTCTAGCAATATAGAACTAACTTGATAATCCCACTCATATTAAAGTACCTAATTTCAACTTTACCATTGATAACTACAGTCTACCAGATTAAACGATTTTCCCAAATCTTATTACTTGGCTTAAACCTCATCAGAATGACTAATTATTTTCTGAGTATTAACGATAAAATTTAAAGTCCACATAAAAAAAGAAAATCATAATGAAGCAATAAAAATATGGGGCTCAAACATCAAAGACTTAGCTTCACTCCAGCCATGAAAATGCAATTTATGATAAAAATAAATAAAATTTTTCTTTTGATCATTAATTGATCGAGTTCTAACAATTTTGCAATAACCCATAAGAATTTTGAAAATTTCAGTTTTTTTTATTTATTTCCTACTTTATTCCAGCAACCAGACATGAAAAGACTTTGCGAAGCAAATTGAGGAAAATCAAGCGACATATTCAAAGCCCAAGCAGCAAAAAAATAAATAAATAAATAAATAATGAAAATCTCAACAAATATGAATTAAAAGGAATAGAATTAAGATTAGATTACTTACCAGAGAACGAAGAAAGTGAAAATATAAACAGATAAGACTTCAATTTTTTTTAAAATGAAATATAAAATATAAGAGAAAAAAAGAGAGGAATAAACTTTTTGTTAGTGATAACCGGACTGGTTGTTGACTTCAATACATGGTTTGAGTTGTACCCCTTTTCATAAAAGTATTTCAATAACTATTAAATACTAACTCTGTTAAGTAAACTAAAATTGGTGATTTTATTTTTTTTTATTTTATCAAAATTTTCATTTCAAAATTTTATTTATTAAATTAAGATGGAATCATTTTTATTTTATTTTAACTTATTTATAATTTACTAGCATGATACCCATATATTGCAACGGGTTAAAATTTTTTCATCTATATTTATCATTTTTTAAGCGAAAGGTAAAAAATCAAATGAATGTTACACATGAATATCTTAATTTATATTGTTTCCTCGTAAAATTTATCTAATTAAAATTTAAAAAAATAAAAAAAGGATAAAACAAAAAAAAAGAAAAAGATTAAAAAAAAACTCATAAAGGGTGCCTCATGAATATCCATTGAACTTAAAATATTAATTTCTTAAATTAAGGTATCTAATAATAACATTATTAATATAAGTCAAGTTTGATATTTAAGATAATAGATAATATAAAATAATAATTATTTTTATTATGTTTAGTTTATATCTAATTCAAAAGAATAGAATTATAAAGAAGATTATTATTCTTTTGATATAGAATGATTAAATTCTCCCAAAGTAGAGAGAATTATTTTTAATCCATGTGATTAAACTTAAATATTTTATTATACCCTTAAAAATTACATCAATAATTTAAATTGTATAAATTTTAAGAAAATATAATTTTGATCAATAAATAAATTATATTATCTTAATTCTTGCACATATCAAACATAAAAGAAATGACATTATTTAACCTAATTTTATTTGTAATGTCATCTTATCATATCCTATCATAATCTTATGTACTAAATATAATATATAATAAAATTAATAATAAAATATATGCTTTTATATATATCTCAAAATTGATCGGGAAAAAGCACCCAAACATGCTTTTGTCCTGATCCCATTTCTCTAGAAAACTTAATTCTTCCTAACTTGATCTCAATTTAAAAAAATCATCTCCTTTTGAATTGGTATAGGTCAAATATGAATTATTTTGGCATCTTTATCAAGTAATATCTTTCATTATAAAATTTATCTTATTAAAAATAAAAAAATACAAAAGAAAAAAAATCAAATGAAGGTGTCACGTGAACAATTTTTATTGACCTTTTTTTCCAAATTAATTTAATTAAAAAAGCATAAAAATTAAAAACCAAAAAAAAAAAAAAGAAGAGAACTCATTGGGTACCACATGGAGATCCAAATTAAGCTTAAAATATTAATTTCTTAAATTAAAATATTAAATAATAACTTTATTAATTAAAAAATCAAAAATAAAGAAATTAATAATGTGGAAAAAAAGAAAAATAAACAAAGAAAAAAAAAGAGATCATTAGGCACTATGTGGACTCTAAATTGAGTTTAAAATATTACTATTGGTATAAAATAATAATTTTATTAATATAATACATATATAAATATAAAACTAATATATAATAAAATATATACTTTTATATATTCCACACGGTAGTTAGGGTAGAGCACTTTAAATCCATTTTTTTACTCACCCCCACTCTTCTAAATATAAAATTGACTTGACTTGACTTGATATCAATTTTTACAAAAATGTCCAAACGAATCGAAACCCATCGGATATTGATTATTTTTCTATCCTTATCACTTGCTCATTTTATTGTAAAATTTATCCAATAAGAATACAAAAAACTAAAACAAATAAATAAATAATAAAGATGCTACGTGAACACTTCCATTGATTTTTTTTTCTTACAAAATTTATCTAATTAAAGAAAAGAAGAGAAAAAAATTATCTTATTATCGGATTAAGTCGAATCAAAATCTATTCGATATGAATTGTTTTGTGATCCTTATCCATTGACTTCTTTTGTTACAAATTTATTTAAATAAAAAAACGAAAGAAAAAACTAAATCAAGGTTTCACATGGACAATTCCATTGGTTTTTTTCACAAAATTTATATAAATTAAAAACAAAAAAAAATTAAAAAAAGTACCCAAAAAATTTTAAAAAATGAAACAAAAATAAAGTGTCACGTCGACACCTTGAAGGATGATCAAACAAAAATTAAAATAAGTAAAATTTATATAATGAATAAATGGATGAATTACATCTTAGTTATGTATAAATATATTATTTATATTAAATTATAATATTAAAGATAACTTTATTAATATAATTCATATATAAAATATTTAAAAATAAATTTTTATATATATAATTGGGATTAGATGAAACACCCTAAATCTGTCTCTGACTCGATCTTAATTTTAGAAAAGGAAAAATATTGACTCTATCTCGAATTTTGTAAAAACTTACACATATTGGATTGAATCAAATCGAAATCCCTGAGATATAAGTTATTTTGTTATCCCTACAACTATTGCCTTTTTTCTACCAAATTTATCTAATGAAAAAAGTCAAAAACTTAAAAAATGAAGGGAAAAAAGGAAAAGAAGAAGCCATGTATATTTATTAAATTAAGGTATTTTTATTAATACAATACATATATAAATATAAAATTAAAACAAACAATAAAATATATATTTGTATATGCCATAATGGGGTGAAACACCCTAAACTTGCATCCGATCTAACCTCAATTTTTTAAAAAAAAAATCAATTCAGTCCCAAATTAAAAAAAAAAAAAAACACATATTGGATTTAGACTAATTGAAATTTATCGAATGCATACCTCATATATCAAAAAGAAAAAAATAAAAAAAATTATTTTTAATCAATAATATCAAATGGGTTCACACATAAAAATTTAAAAATATAAAAAAATATTAATTAAATATTAAAAATGAAATAAGAAATAAGAAATAGAAAAATAGAAAAATGAATGCATTAAAGTGCCACGTAGCACCCTATACAACCTCTGTACATATGCAAGATTTAAAATATAGACAAAATATTATGGGAAAAAAAAAGCTAAATAGGAATGGCACAAAAATTTATTAAATTAAAATATTAAATAATAATTTTATTAATATAATACATATATATAATTAAATGAATAATAATATATATTTATATCATATATTTTTAAAAACTAAATAAATATTGAAAAAGGAAACAAAAATTTATTTTTGATGTGATGACGATACCACTATAATATCCTTTTTTAAAAAATTATCAAGAAAAAAAATATATTTTTAATAAATACTATCAAATGGCTCCATTTTTGAAAAAATTTATGATATTAAAAAATATTTATTAATTATTAAAAAAGCTAGGCAATGCACCTTTTTGTTTTGATTAACAAAGCTCGTGACATATTTTCTTGTTGTGTTTCTTTATGCGAATAAGAGGGAGCATGTAGTTGAATAGTTTATAGCTATTAAACATGTTACTAGTACGAGAAGATAAGTATTCGATTAAAAGAAAAATAATGCATTTTTAGTACTTGGTTGGATATTTAAAACTTTTTTGAAAAAATTAAAATGTTAATTTAATTTTTTTAAGTGTACATAAGTGTGACTTAATATTTGTGACAAGTATTACTTTTAAGGTTTTGTGAATAATGGGTATAACAAATAGACAAATTATAATATGATTTTAATTTTTTAAATTACAATGCACAAAATTAAGTTAAAGATTAAAATAAAATTAACAAATAACAATTTTAATGTGACTAATTAAATAATAGTAGTATATATAGTATAAAGTGTTCGAAAGGTCAAATTATGCCACAAGTTTTTGTATTATTCAAAAATTTAAAATTTAGTCTCACTATTATAATTCATACAAATTTAATTCTCTTACTATTTCAATTTAATAATTTCAGTCTAATTGTAAACATTGTAAAAATTTTTCCATTAAAATTGCTGACATGATAGTTGATTTACTAACATGTTGACTTTGTTGATATAGCATATTGATTTGTTTGAGATTATTTCTAGTGATGACATAAACTTTAAAATACCACATGGCATGAAAATTAATGCCATGTCAAATTTTAAAATTTTATTCTTTTTTGTTAAACCTAAATAGTTTCATTTATTTGTAAATATTAAAAGAAAGTTTGAAATTGAAAAAATAAAACAAAAGCAAATTAAAAATCACAAACATAGCAACCATTAAACTTAAACACCAAATGTTTAAAAAATTCATACTTTCCTAGTTTTCGACAAAAATCCCAAATCCTAGTGACACGTTTCCATGTCGACCGCTTTTTGTCGCCACTTATCTCTATTCCCTGGTGACAAAAAGATCCAGAGAAATTAAAAAAAAAAAGCCTTTATTGTTTCTTCTATAATTCTACCTAACTAGATTTTTAAAAATTTGTCTTGAAAAGCTTAGATCTAAGATTTGACCAATGATTTAAATCCTTAAAAAAAAAAAAAACCTTTTCGACATTCCAATCCTTCCTACCTACCAATATGTGCTTCCCCTTACCTATTCTTCCTTTCTACCAAATTTATAGCCTTAAATTAGTTTGAAATCCCTAAACGAAAGCCAAAAAACCTTTTTGTAAAGTTTTCAAATAACAACACAACATCCAAATATTTTGGAAAAGAAAGAAAGAAGCCACCCTAGGTCAATTTCACAACATTTTCCTTTCATCAAACACTTAAATAAGGAATATAAATCAAGACTCTTTTCTAACAAAACACATGACATCAAGTTTTTTGTGAAAAGACCATATTTTCTTACTAAAGGCTATAATAGGAATCAAACTAGGGGAAAAAAATAACAATAACAAGACTCTTGATGTTAAAAACCAAGGCAGAAACATCTTAGAATCATGTATCGAACCTTAAAATCTTAAACTAACCAAAGCAACTTTCGAAAAGCCCATGAAAAATTTGCCTTTTAAAGAACAGAAAATGAAAAGATAGCCTAGTAATCCTTTTTGGTAAGAAAATAAAAAATTGTCGCAATTAAAAAAAAGTGAACATACAATTTAGAAAGAAGATCAAGGAGCTAGGATTTGAAAGAAGGTCAAGCGAAAATCATAGTTATCTATTATTTTCCACCTCTTC